TGCCTGATTTAATACCTAACTCTGAAAAGCTTTGTTAATCCAGTGCAATGAATTGGGGATATCTGAAAAAAAGGGTTGGAAAAGCTTGTTTATAATAGGGTTTCAGTGACTGTGTTTGAATTATATTTACTAAAAGCCTTTCTGCTTGGTGCACTTGGTCTCAGACAACAACATTTACATTTAAGCACCACCATTAAATCCAAGGTCCTACATCTAAGGTTTTTCTGCAATGACTGTAACAATCACTGAAATGCAGAAAGGATTTTCTCATTTCTAGATACCTAGTCTATTGGGTGGTAGAATGCACCTATGCACTCATTGTTTTAGAAAGGAATCACAATTTTTATCCTCTTTTTTTGTCATGGACTAAATAAGGCACAATATCTATGGTCTGTTAGCCCATGGTTAGGTGATACAGGTACAGATTAGGGGATTACAGAGCAGGTAAAGTGACTGCTTTGATTGTGGCTTATTTTGGCATGCATATACTAAATTTGGAAGAGTATAGACATTAGCACATCCTAGTGTAAGGATGACAACCAAATTTATGAGTTATTCAACATCGTCCTATGTGGTCACATACGCCTGAATACTCTGGAGCTTGTCTGAACTTGGAGCTCAGCAGAGTTAGATCCCAAAAGTCAGTACTTGGATGGGTGCTGTGGGTTTCCAGCTGACATAAAGGGGGAAAAAGTTTAAGCTGAGGACATTCAGACTTAGAAAAGGCTACTCAGAGAGGTTGTGGACTCTGTCCTTGCTAACTTTTAAAACACAGATGAAGAATGCTGTGGGCAGCCAGGTCTGTGTTCGGTGCTGAGCCTGCTTTTAGCAGAAGGCTGAGCTAGGTGACCTGCTGAGGTGGCGTCCAACCTGAATTATTCTAGTACTCTGTGGTCTGAGTTGAATTTTATGTATCTCAATGCAGTTATTTATTTTTTGTTGATTGTATGCTTACATGAGTTGATTGCAATGATAATGATCATTGTATCATTAAAAATGAGGTCTTATTTTCTGGCATGAGTAGGAAAAATGTTTTTCATAGATTATCTAAAGATAGCACTAATTGCCATAAGGCTGACATTGTTTATGCATAGGAAGACTTTCCACTAGTGGCTAATTATAGGCTATAAGATACTCAGTAGCCTATAAATGAAGTAAATAATAAAAATAATTGTAGCGTAGCTTCCTAGGATAAAAGGGTGGGATTTTTTCTTTTTTCACTTTCTCTTTGAAAAGTATAAATTGCTAAACCCATGAGCAGATTTGTAATAGAAGCTGAGTGGCCTGGAGTATTCTCAATTCACAGAAATTACACGATATAGGCATCAAATAAAAACTTTGCTTTCCAAGATTCACCCACAGCTAAAAAGTTTAGTCTAGTCATGCTGGACTTAAAGCTCCTTGTTTCTCCAGCAATATACTATTTCTTCTTTCAGTTGGAAAAACAATTACCAGGTATTCTGTAAGGACATGCTCTTCCTTTTAGTCACTGATCCTTCAAAACAGGTGAACACAAATGTGTCCAAAGTTGTCTGTCTCTCCATTGTTGAAAGAGGCCTAATTCATTGTCTCCTTAGTTATTCTGGAGACGTGGATGTCGGTGTTAAAAGTTTTGAGAATGTAAAACGTCCAATGTTTTCCAAATATTAGGAGAATATACAGACTGCAGAAATGTTCTGAAAATTGATTCTCTGAAGGCAAGTAACAAAAGCTCATACAGCTTTTAGTGGTATGGCTTCATAGTGCGTCAGATTTCCAACTTCTCTTTACTTCATATTAATGAGTGCAAACATGAGTACATGGTGTTTTTCTAACTATGGGATTCTTGCGTGGGCCTATGAGTTCCTGCTGGAGATTTTCCCCTGCAAAAGCTGTAAGTCTCATCCTCCCCCATCCCTTGTGCAGCTCATAAAAGGGGCAGAAATAAGGGAGAGAGTCCCACTGTACCATCTCTGCCCATTTAGGAAAGGGCAGGCGTATAAGCATGCAGGCACCCTGGCTTTGATGACAGGTGGGCTGAATTTTGACCTTGATTTAGGTATTTTGCAGCTGTACTGCTCTTTAGTGGTGCCAGTGGGTTAGAGCTCACTTTTGCAGGGACTATGAAATCTATCCCTGAAGCAGTGATCTTTGCCAGTAGGCATGTTTTGCTAGTTACTTATAGCATTAATTAGTCTTAATAGTTTTGGGAACATGTTGGTGGGAGGAATGTGCCGGTTAGGTGGATTATCTGCAACAATGGCAAAGTCCTTCAGGGTGAGGCTTGGTGGAAAAGGCTGTGTTCCAAAGGAGAAATAATGGTTTGCATCATATAATTAAGAAATGTATCACTTGAGTATACATGCACTGAAGGTGAAGTAAGTAACCTTTTGGATAGATTAATTCTGGCATTTAATCTTGTTCAAGTTAACCATGCCAAGTGCAAGGTCCTACACCTGGGTCGGAGCAATCCCCGGCACAGCTACAGGTTGGGCAGAGAAGAGATTCAGAGCAGCCCTGTGGAGAAGGACTTGGGGGTGTTTGTTGATGAGAAAATGAACATGAGCCGGCTTCAGTGTGCGCTTGCAGCCCAGAAAGCCAACTGTATCCTGGGCTGCATCAAAAGGAGCGTGACCAGCAGGTCGAAGGAGGTGATCCTGCCCCTCTACTCTGCTCTTGTGAGAGCTCACCTGGAGTATTGTGTGCAGTTCTGGTGTCCTCAACATAAAAAGGACATGGAACTGTTGGAACAAGTCCAGGGAAGGGCCACGAGGATGATCAGGGGACTGGAGCACCTCCTGTATGAAGACAGGCTGAGAAAGTTGGGGCTGTTCAGCCTGGAGAAGAGAAGGCTGCGTGGAGACCTCATAGAAGCCTTCCAGTATTTGAAGGGGGCCTATAGGGATGCTGGGGAGGGACTCTTCATCAGGGACTGTAGCAGTAGGACAAGGGTGATGGGTTAAAACTGAAACAGGGGAAGATTAGATTGGATTTAAGGAGGAAGTTCTTTACTGTGCGAGTGGTGAGGCACTGGAATGGTTTTCCCAGGGAGGTTGTGAATGCTCCATCCCTGGCAGTGTTCAAGACCAGGTTGGACAGAGCCTTGGGTGAGATGGTTGTCCCTGCCCACGGCAGGGGGGCTGGAACTAGATGATCTTAAGGTCCTTTCCAACCCTAACTATTCTATGATTCTAAGTTCTTTTAGCCTTTTATTTTTATATAATGTATGTAAACAGCACACAAAATAGGTGTTTGATCTGAATCTGTACAGAAGGCTGTAATAATACAATACTTTCTAAACACAGTGTCCCAGTTTCAGCTGGGATAGTGTTAATATTTTTCTTAGTAGCTGGTACAGTGCTTCATTTTAGATTTACTATGAGAACAATGCTGATAACACATTGATGTTTTAAGTAGTTGTTGTTAAGTAGTGCTTACCCTGATCCGGGACTTTTCAGCCTCTCATTCTTTGCCTTTGAGGAGGGGCACAAGAAGCTGGGAAAAGCAGACAGGATACCTGACCCAAACTAGCCAAAGGGGTATTCCATACCGTACAACATCATGCTCAGTATATAATCTGAGGGAGGTTGGATGGGAGCCATTGATTACTGCTTGGGTCAGGCTGGGTATCAGACAGTGAATGGTGAGCATCATTTGGGTTTCTTGGGTTTTACTTCTCTCCCTCTTTTTCCTATTGTTGTTGTTATTATATTTTACTTTTATTTCCATTATAAACTGTTCATATCTCAACCCACAGTTATTAACTTTTTTCTGATTCTCTTCACTATCTCACTGAGGGGGCTGGCAGCGAGCAAGCAGCTGCATGGTACTTAGTTGCCAGCTGAGGTTAAACCATGTCAGAGGGACAATTTAAACCAGTTTGGGAACTGCAGTTGCTATGCAAGGCAGCAGCATTCTTTGAAGGAGTTGCAACTCGTAAAGGTGCCACAGCAGTGTTCTGCAACATTTACCTGTAGGAAGGGACATGAGGACAATCAGATATTTAGTTATAGTTCTTAAAAGAACATTAATAGAAATTAACACTTCTAAATACCTTTAGGGATCCATTCCTTACTTTCTGCTTAAATTAGACTACACCCAGGCTCCAGAACCTGGAAATAGTTTTTAGGTTTCCAGGCTAAGTGCATGTCCAGATGTATTTTGATGCAAGTCAAGGCGAGACCCCAGCATGCACCCGCAGTCACTGTCTGCCTCACTTCCACAAAAAGGCAGCTGGGAGCCACCTGGCAGCAACATGAAGCGTATCTTCTAATATTTCCACAAATTAGTATAAATGTAGCCCCCTTGTTCCTAAAACTGGGGACTTGTGCTGACAGTGGAAACGACTGAATTATTCAGGGTACCACTGATCTGCAATGAGATGTTCTCGACATATTTCACTAACTCTTAAAACACACCTATTCAGTGGCCAGCTCAGCTTGCTTTTCTTGCTGGAGGTTGTGTCAGTGCATATGTTTTTGTTAAAATACACCCTGAAGGAGTGATATGCACAAGATTATATTAATGTTTACAAAGAATTAATATGTCATAAATATCATAAACTTCCACCAAAGCAGATTCTTTTTTGAAGGATAGTGTAAAAATCCTTAATTATATTGACGTCAACCAGAAGTACTTTTTTCTCACAGAAATATTGTGCACTTGCACAATAACCACTTGGTTTTTGTAGGATAGTCAAGTAGTAACCCTTTGAAAAAGACCAGCTAAGTGCCCAACACATTAAAGCAAAACAGGATTAGTGAATTATTTACTACATTAGAAGCAATTTGTATTTACAGTAAAAATGCAAGATATCTAAAATTATAGCACTTCTACTGAGATGGAAGTAGGAACAGTGTGCTTAGGATCATTTTGTCTTAAAGCTAACTTGAACTGCTTTTGTTGTTTGTTAGATTAGGCAAGATGTAGTTCAGCTGATAAAGAATGGAGGTTTTGTCAGATGATGCACTTTCCCTAAATCATGATTGACTCTGAAAGGATTTGCTTTGCTTCTTATGCAGTTTTTCTATTACACAGCCTGTCTGAGACAAGTTTTGACCAGCTTTGCAATGAGATGTGATAACTTTCTACTGCTCAATTTAACTGCAAAAATTGCTGTGAGCTGCAAATCCACATGGTGAAGTTCAGACTGAGTTGCTGTCAGAGGTATGGAGAGAAACTTCATGGAAATCAAGAGACTCCTTCTCTTGTTCTCCATCCTTTTGAGGAGGCAGGAAAAGAGCAGATTTTGCCCATCAAGATGGAGTAAGTAGCCTGTGGACATTATGTTATTCAGAAATATGTGTCAGATAATTTTAATCTGAGAAACATGGTAAGAATTCATGTGAGTTGAAGACTAGAGCAATGTGAAGGCTGACATGTTTTGAATTCAACTAGAGTAATAGAAAACAGAATTTTCCAACACCTCATACTTGAATGAGAATTTATTCCCTAGTATACCACAGATTTCTAACCCAGTGAATTTAGCCAGAAATATTGTGAATTTATGTTTTTGAAAGACTTGTTGCATCTAAAAGTTTATCATCTCCCATAACCTTGTGGGTCTCTAAAACTTACTGAAATATATTAATGGACTTTAATTCCTTTGCCTTGGTTGTTTTTTTTTTTTCAAGCCCTCTTGGTTTATGGCTGTTGTCAGGAAGAGCCTGTGCCTATCTATCTTGTTGCCAAAGAACCTGTGGGTTTTTTTAATCCCTCATCACAAAGGGGAGAAAAATTATACTTTGTATAATTTTATGCAACTGTACAGTAGGATCTACAAAAAGAAAGATTTTTTTTCCCTAGTGACCAGCTGCCTGAAACCAGCAGTGCATAAACACATCCATTCACCCATATAATCATTTTCTCAGATTTAAGACACTTCATTGAAGTTATTATGCTTGTGTAAAAGAGCAGCAATGTATGAGTGAGTCGGGCCTTAGGCCTTGGTTTTCATCCAAAAGATAAAAGCAAATGAAGAAATTCAGAGAAACAAAACAATGAGTAAAAGAACAGGAACTGAATCACTTCTGCAGGGAGATTTAGGACTTAATACTGAAACCAAAAACCTACTCTGGCCCTGATCCAAAACAATACTCAAGTCTTAACTCTAACTCCATCAGCAGTTTCACTGAAGCCAAATGTCTGCCCAAGTACTTTGTAGGCTGGGGTCAGAGTATCTTTCAGTAATTTGCAGGACTGAACCCTCAAAGAAATGATCTTGGCCAAGTGATAAGGCCTGGTAATGAGCTGAACTTACAAGACAGACAGAAGGTGCTGGCTGTGGGCGTACCAGTGAGTTGCTAAAATCCAGTGAGCGTTAGTAGGGAAGCTGTAGCAAAACCTACTAAAAGAAGATACCTTAACTATTATTCAAACACTTTCAACAATTTTTTTTTCAATTAAAATAATTTCTAGATAGGTTTTGAAACACATAATTTTGAGAACTGAAAATTTTTGCTGTGGCAAAATCCCTTTTTTGCCTTTAAATTTTTCACCTGAATTTGTCAGGTCAGAAGTGAGAACCATAATTGAAGTATGTAAGAATGCCTCCGCATTTGATCTCTGGATATAAAGGTTATTTTTTGGCTTTTTTCTGAAATAAATACCTCTACTGTTTGTCTAGTTATTTGAGTGGTATATAGTACTCTTCTGTTTACACGGTTTTGAAGGTGCACAGTCAGTTTAGTGGTACATGTATATAGATGGCTCCTGGGTGGGAGAGTGACCGTCCTGCCTCCTCCCATAACTGGCCTATGAGAGGTTCTGTGTCCTGCAGGGCCAGTTATGCCTGGTGCTTGCTCTGGGACTGCTGTGTTTTGGATTCTGCATGCTCCTTTCTAACCCAAATGTGATAAAAACTTGCTTTATAAGGAGTGATTTGTGCAAATAACCCAGGAATCCAGAGCTCATATATGGGTCAGAGTTCAGCTTCAAGTCTGAGATCACCCTTTGCTGGCTCACAATGAGCTGGTTTAGAACTCCTTGAGCTTCCCAGGATTTGCACTGGGATCCAATTTTTTTTTTTTTTTTTTTTGCCTTGGATGCTTGGATCTGGGACTGTGGTTTGTACCATTCGAGACAGGATATTCAGATCCAGAGAGTTTACATCTAGATTTCATCCGAGATGTCTCTAGTTATGAGCACATGTAGAGGAAGAGAAACAGCATAAAAAAGGTGACTGAATTCCTCAGTGCTCCGGAAGTGTTCATGTTCAGTTTCGTTTGTATTTGGACAGAGATTTGAACTAATTTTCAAATTAGTTAAACAGACTGCCTCATTATGTCTTAATCTAAACTGGACATCTTTCTAAACAGATGCTTTTAAAAGTGCTGCTATAAACTAAATATAAATTACTGATGTGTTGCAGGAATTGCTAATTCAGAATCTATGGCTCATGGTATTTTAGCATTTCCACTGGATGATATATTGGCTAAATCTTTAAGATGATTAAGAGGAAGACATGAATGAAAGTAACTGCAGATGGTCCTCAAGCTGCTGGAGTGCTACATCCAGATTTCAGATAGACCTCCAGCCGTTTAGGCTCTCATTATGCAAAGCAAAGGTTGCCCCAGAATTAACTTTTATTGCAAGCCCCCTACAAGACTTTGACCACCCAAATATCTACTAAGAAAACTTTTGCAGCATACCAATTAATTTTCATTTATGCCACACTTCATTATATGCAGTAAATAAGCATAAATAGCAAACGACCAACAAGAGTCTTTTTGTCTACTACCCACATGGGAGTCATCTAACCTTAATAGGGAAGATGTGCTTTTGGAGTCCAACCATGCTAGTAGTAGTCTTTCTACATTTGCTTTTCCTTAAGAAAATGCAGTTTATACTCTTTGCCACTGAATAAATGGTTCTAATTATCTGAAACATTTTGCATTTTTTTCCAGTATTTTATCACTGGCTTCCAAAAAGCCTGGACTTGAAACAGGGTCTTGAAGCTCTGCATGACCACAGCCATTGCTCTTATCCAGCTTAACCTTGCCCACCTCAGGGACAATTTACAGCTATTTGATCTGTTATGTAAAATACATCAAAGGTTATTGACCTATTGCCTCCTGCAGTCCCACATGTTCAGACAGGATATTCCAGGGTTGCTTTAGTTCAAGTGAGCAATAATATTTTCTAAAAGTAGCCCCAGTGAAAGTTGTAGGGCTGGCTACTTGTTTAGGAAAGTAATATTTCCTGTGTACAAGTACCAGCATCCAACTTGGGATAATGGTGCTGTCTCGATGAAAACACCTGACAGGGAAATTCTGCCACTGGTAAAAAACAAACAAACTGAAATCCCCGAAACAACAACACGCACAAGACCCCATTAGAGCCCTTAGCATTAGCAGCTTTCTTAAAGAAGGGCATCTGCACTTATCTTGAATTCTGGGGGATTTTATAGTGCCTAAGAAGACTGAAGAATTCATACAGACCATCCTATGACTGTTACCTGTTACTTTTTCTGGATGGGAGATGATCCTCAAGCACTTGGGTACAAATGCTCCAGAAGTGGCTGCCTTCCAGTATTCTGATGGCTTCAGGCAAACCGAGGTTAATCATATACTCCACATTAAGAAGAAAGCTAGTTCCCTCTTGGGCATTTAGGTTTGAAATTGCTATGCATTCTGCACAAGACACAAAGAAAGAAAGGTGATGTTTCAGGGAGTAGTCCTATTTTGTTTCTTTCTGCTGTTAGCTGAATAATGATATTTTCAGAAAGTTAACTCAGAGGGACTTATGAAAATGAAAGTGTAATCAGGGGTATAATCCCTCTCCACATCTGAGAAACTGTGTAAAACCAGTGAGAAGGAGCTGTACAGCAACAGTCACATGCACTCCTTAAGCCTGATGCTGATAGTGATTCCTTGGCTGGTACTGTGTGACCTTTTCAAGCCTGGTAATGGGAAGAGGAAGAAATGTCTCCTGACTCTAAAAACCTAGTTTACCATTTCACCCCATGAAAAAAATTAGCTCCTTTGTTATAGCAACTGTTTACCCTGTTTGAATCCCAACAAAGGCAAAAAATGTGAGCATGCCTGCCTGGCATAAAGCACGGAAGTAAGCACCATGCCTCCATTTACCTCTGGCTTTCTGTGCCGATGCTAAATTCAAGAGACACAGAATCTGAAATGTATGTGAGAATGTATTGGATGTAGCATCAAAGCATTGTCTTGATCGCCATCATCTTGATCACTCACAGTCTTGCAGAGTGTAGTAATGCATATTTTCTCGCTTATTCTTAGGTTTGTAGTTTGACCCATGAGAATTATTTTCATGTCTTGCTGAGATCGGGGGAGTAGACAGACTACATCAGAGCTTTGATATATTAGCTGATTAGAGCTTCTGGCAGCCTTCAGGATAGAGTTTCTCAGCAGCAAGTTCTCCAGAGGATTTCTGAGAGTGGGATTACTGTTAAGTTTCTTTTCCTGATCACAGTCCTATTGCTTATAGAGTGTGTGAAACAAAAGTTCAAATGTTGGCGTATTCTCCTATGGGACAGCAATATTCACATTGTATAATTTCCACATCTGAAATAAACTACATGGTGATGGTTTTGTGTTGAGGTTTCTTTCCTGATCTGTGATTTGTGGTTACTAGTCTAGTTATTAGTGCTTCTGTACTGCTTTTCTTAAGTTGATGCAAATTAATGAAAAAGAATCACAGAAGATAAGTGATTGTTTCTCTACAGAAACAGAGTAAAAAGAACTGAGGAAGCAGGAATTCCTGCTACCTGAGATGCTTGAGTTAGAAGCGTCACTGTTCAGCTGTAATACAGTCCTTGTAGAGAGTTTAACATCTGAATTTCCCCCCAGAATTGTAGTTCTCTCCATTGCCAACAGAACAATCCTACTGTAACTAGGTTCTTGGATTTGACAGTTAAATTCAGAAGTGATTAGTTATTCTTCTCCCAGCTTCCAGCACCTTCTGAGGCTTACTTCTGTTCCTCAAAAGCTTTTGAATCTGTGAAATATGGAAACATAACTGTGATTTTTATTTATTTTTTCATATTTGGAGCTGGATGTGGACTTTACAGTGGTACACTGGTAAGGCTCTGGGAGACTGCCCAGAAATAGTATCTTTCAGACACTTTAAATAGCTTTAAGGTAGCCAAAATGCAGAAGATGTACTGTATCTTCTTACAAGTCCCACAGCATACGCATATTAACTTAGCAATATTTGTAAGCTGGTGCTCTTCACTGCACATGTAATATTAGATTTAGGAGAATTTTAAAAGGGTTTAAGAGGTTTTAAAATAATCCTTTGCTCCCTGTGGTAATCACAAGCTGTGAGTGCTGCTTTCTCTCCAGCACTTCCACTGAAGAAGGTGGAAATATCCTTCTCTCGTCTAGCCGATCATGAGAGCTGGGGTCCCACGGCATGCACAATCTTTGCAGTTTCCAATGGAGGGGTTACAACTGGCAGAGGCTCCTTTCCACCTCCCAGCTGTACACTCCTCATTCCTATACGCTGCCAAAAATTCTGCAGGAATCCACAATGTTATCATCTTTCCTTGCTGCTGTCCTCAGAGTCCCACCTATAGACTATTAGAGGAAGAAGAACAGCCTTTCCACCTTCCTGCATGCTCCTTTAGTGATCAGGTCCCAGCCATGGGCATGCCTGAGATGCCTGTGCCTGCCTTTCCAGCCCTGTGAACCACATGTGTGCGCCATCCTTTGCAGCTGTCGCTGCACTGCCCGTCCCTGCCACACCAGAGCATTAATCCATAGAAGGGCAGGTGGCCCTGTACTTCCCAATTACCCTCTTAATTGATTCGTGTGTATGTGCTTTGGATGAAGAAGCAGGAGGATTATTCCAGCTAAGATGACCTTGGCGCTTCCTCTGTCCCAGCCTGTGAGTCTGAAAGGCTCTGGAGTCCCTGGGTGGGATCATCAGGAATAGCGTGATAAGGTGTGCACACAGATGCCATGGTCACACTGCTGCATTTGTAACTTAATTTCTTTACCTTTGATTGGCATGATGATATAGAAGGCTAAACCTGTGTTCAACAGGGATCAATGCTATGTTATGAGTTGATAAGGAGGTCTAGGGGAATTAGTATCCACCAGCTGCACACCTGAGGAGAAAAAGAAGGAAGGGAAATTATGTATACTATTTCCTCCTTGTAGCAGTGCCTAATGTATTAAGGCTTCTGGAATAAATCCTTGGCCTAAAGGAGTCTTAAACATATGGAACTTAAGAGTGTTAATTCCATCTCCTTTGAGCCTGCCAAAGTTGGCCAAGTATATACCACAGAAAGCAGAGAAAAGAGAAAATCATGAAATCGAATTCTTCCATACTCCAAAAACTTTATCAGGCCAGAAAACATGTTCAGGAAACCTGTAAATGAGGGGCAATGTGATAGAAAAATAACAAGTATTAGAAAATTTGAAATTAATTCAACACCGAATGTGTCTTATTATGGGTGCCTAGCGTAGGATAAAAATAAGCAAGAAGCAATCAAAGAAATAGAAAACACGAGCCATGGGAAGACAATTGTGATCTATCTTCGGGCCACGATGTTACGAAATCCTTAAAAAGCGATCCAACATTGCCACCTGCGGGTGGCCTTGGGGAGGACCTGGAGGAACCACCGCAGGGCTGCCCGGGCCGGGGGACAGGAGCACATGCCTGAATTGTAGGAGGGAGTGTGCCCTGTACAGCCTGGGGGCTCAGCTGTGCATCAAACACAAGCTGTAATGAAACACTGGTAATTAAAACACTCTTCTTGTAAAACCCGAGTTTCACCAGTCTAGGAGAGGGTAATCTTTAATCTCCAGTTCCTCCCTTAGGTCAGGAAACAGTGTTGGTGACCTAAATTTCTCTTTGCCATTTTAGCTAAGTGTTTGGAGTCGCACACCACTCTCATGTCAGATTCTCAGTAGCTCCGTTGACTTCCCTGAGTCATACTTGCAGGGAATTTTGGCTTCAGGTGAGCTACACCAAAAGAGAATTTGACAGCTGCTGACAGGTCTCTGTTTGAGTGAAGTCACCAGTTAAAGTGGAACCCACATTTCATCATAGCATGAATTTAGCAGATATATTTGTTTCTTCAATGGTATTGTATTTAGAACAGATTTAAAATAAATATTTCTGTTATTTCATAGTTTTATTCAATATAATAATCTACTGTAGTACATACATTATTTCTATGCCTTCATTCTTATGAATGGAATGCAAGAATGAATAGGGAAATAAAATAATTATAAAACAAAAGAAAATACTACAGTGGTAAGCAAACACAAAATTTATATATACTGGACCTATTATGTATGCGTTTGGACATACAAAGAAGCCAAAGTAAGAGGTGGATGATGTATTTAAAGATTCCAAGAAATGAGCAGCACTGAATTTGATATTGTTCCATTTCTGCAGGTGCACCACATTTGGCTGGGATCACTGTAAAAGGTATACAGTATAATATGTATAGTGCCCTGGTACTTTTCAGGAGGGTACCTTCCCTTCATGGGGCGTGCAGAGAAATTAGTAAATGCATGTAATGTGTTGGTTTCACTGGATCTGTGCTGACTTCTTTCAGCTGAAGGTCTGGAATCTGGCATAAAAATCTGTGTTACTTGGCAAGCATTTTATTGACCATGTTTTTCTTCTGGAAAGAACAAAGGAAGCAGATGGAAAGCTTGCAGAACATGTTGCCTGGATGCAAAACGATGAGTGGTCAGCTGCAGCAGGAGAGATGCTGGTGTGAGAAAAGATGAGGTGGGAAGGTGGCTGATGATGTCTCTGTTAGTGAGCACTATGAAAACAACCCTAAAGAGATCCTGAAGTATTACAAACAAATTGATTTTCTGGGAAAAATTAAAGTATGAATTTGTCATATTCTGTCCTATGGATGATAAGGTATCTGCTGTGTAGTTCAAGGAGTGGCAGAATTGGGGTTGTTCTCATGCTTCCAACTGTTCCTGGTATCTATCCCCAGTTGATTTGTCCAACTACTGGTTCTCTTTCTAGGCCAGTTCTGCCTGTGACCTGCCAGATTAGAGGGAATCAGAATGCAAAGGGTGGAAGCTGCACTGGTTACATCAGCATTAGCTCCCCAGGCTTTGGAGAGCACCATGTTTGCTTCTCACAGAGAAAAACATACTTTATAGGCAGGATGCCACATAGTTCTTCCTTTCTTTTCCTTTACCTGTCCTCTCATCTCCATTTAAAGTGACTTTCATTTCTTCTCAAACTAATAGTGAAATAACAAAGATTAGAAGCCAATATAATTTGATCCACACCCAGATACTGTTATCACCCGCTTGGCAAATGACCATGAAGTCTTTTATAACTTATGGATGAAACAGCAGAACAT